ACAATACCCCCTCCCCCCCAAAAAAAAACACAAAATCAAAACTTGATTCTTCCTTATCTCTAAACTTTCTTGAGCTAATGTGGTCCCTCTGTGCATCACAACTATTTATGCATTTTTCCTATTTCTGCTCACTACATCATCAACTGACATCTAGCGGCTATTTTTCTGATGTGCAGATACATGGTTTTGAACCATAGGCACTCCGTAATTTATAATCATTGGCAAGAAACCCCACTGTGTATCAACTGTACTAAATCTAACAACACTAGAGGCAGAAACTTGAATTGTCATCACCCTGCGAACTCAAAAAAAAATGTCCTAGCTACAAGAAGGAAATTGAAGCACTTCTTACAAAGACAAATCAGTTTTAGCTACACAGTCTAGATTTACAATTAAAAATTTCACATTTATACAATGCAATTTACAATGTTCGTCAGTGGCAATAAGCCACATGATTCATACACAATTAGAATTAGGTTCTGGTTTCTGCCTTTATCAACAGCCTTATGTCACAAGAGAAGCACTATTTAATAGGAGCTGGTTCAAATACTAAAATCTTATTTTCATTAAATTCTTTGGCTACAATAGTGTATACTGGACCCTTATCCCTTGTGGATTGGAAAGCTTCAGAACACAGCATTTCAATTGCATTAGACATATACGTGTTTTGAATGCATATATTTATTAAACTGAATGACATACGAATATGAGACTTTACACACATATATACGAATCTCTTAAGTTCAGATTACAAATGTTCAATATGTCCTTCATCAGCGACAAGAACAATATCACATCCATACTCAAATTCCTCCCATACTCGGGCAAGCATGTCCGTCGTCACTGATGTTATGACAGTACGAATCCGTTCTTCACCTTTTCCAGATTTTGTGGAGTTGTGGTACATAAATGCTGTCTTTAATGAAACTCCACAGGAAGAAGTCACAGGGTGTCCAACCCGGTGACCGTGGAGGCCAGCTGAGACATGCTAAGTTGCCAGCTCCTTGACGACCAATCCAATGGTTCGGTAGAGTTTCATTCAGATAATCATGCACTTGCCGACACCAGTAAGGGGTGGGGCCGTCTTGTTGAAAAATGTTGTCTTCATGCAGCCTCAGAAACAACCAGTTTTGTAACATAGCAGGATACTTCTGACAGTTAAAAGTGTTTCCTTCAAAGAAGAATGGGCCGTAAACAGATGATTGGAATATTGCACAAAACACATTGATTTGGGCGAATCTCATACATGTTCAATGGCTGCATATGGGTTCTGTAGGCCCCAAATTTGAACATTGGGTTTGTTTACATGACCACTAACATGAAAAGTTGCTTCATCACTGAACACGATGTGTTGTGTGAAAGTGTTATCATTGTCAATAGCATCAATAATCTCATTACAAAATGCCACACGTTTGCTTTCGTCATCAAGATGCAGAGCCTGTAAAAAATGTAATTTGTACGGCTTCATAACCAACCGACGTCTCAAAACACGCCAAATTGTTGTTGTAGGCAGTTATAATTCCCAACTGGCACAACGAGTTGATTTTGAAGGACTACGTTAGAAAGCAGTTTGAATTTGTGCAACATTTTTCTTGAGAACATGAGGGCGGACAGGACTCTTTTGTTTACATACACATCCTGTATTTACAAACTGTCGATAAAAGCCCACCAGCGACCGAGCGACAAAGTCGCTGAACGCTGGTAGTTTGGTCCGAAGTTCAAATCCTGCGAACGGGCTGGCTGCATGGGTGTTTTCGTGGTTTTCCCCATGTGTAACGTGTATACAAGCCAGTTTCCCTTAGAAAGTCCTCCACGAAGGCAGATAGCCCTAGTGTGCTTTGCCATAATTAAATACACCACCACCAAACTGTCGATACCATCTGCGAATGTTCCAACCGTCCGGAAGATCACTTTAGTACCTCAACTTGAAGCATCTTTGCACTGTAATAACGGAATTGGATTTTGCAAACTCGAGAACACAAAATGCTTTCTGTTGTGGAGCAGCCATTTTAGACATGTGACGGTTACCACGCAAAACAGAAGACAACTGACATCTAGCGGCTATTAATATAAACTATAACTATGGTAGTTAGTGAAGTCAAGTGGCATAACATTAGGCCAGGATTCAAATTACAGAGAAAGCGAAGATGCTTGTACATGTAACATCTTTGTAATATGAGGAACTTAAAATCTGTCAAGCCAAAGTCACCTCCAGAGACTGGTGATAAAAAAAGAAGATACAAGCTATAGGATTCTGTTTCTCAGATTGCTTTCAATTAAATTAGAAAAAAAAAAAAAAAAGAAAGAAAGAAAAGGCAAAAGTTGCATTTAAGGCCCAGAAAAATGACAGGCATAGCTCTAATCTTCCTCTTGGCCATGATGAAATCGATAAACATCTGATTAGATCAGAAAGAAAAGCGACAACTACATATATCACACATAGAATCTGTTTCTTATTTTTTGGTCATTCATAGCATATAAATTTTAACCATGTACTTTTATTTAAATAAAAAAAAATCTGATGTATATACAGTCAAAAGTCGTTAATCCGGACTCGTCGGGACTTCGGCGATTCCGAATTATCGATTTTTCTGGATTATAGATCATCAGTTTAAATCTGGTAAAATGGCATGCAGAAATTATAAAAGTAAAAATATGAAACCATAATTTACGAAATAAAGAACAATTATGATCTAAAGGGTATCAAAATTTACAAAAAGAAAGCTTAATATTTATTTGTTTACTTTATTAAACATTTCTTTCAATGTAAGTTGTTTCAGTTGCTTCGTTTTTTATGTGATAATACTTTCTCTTTAGTTCTATTAAACAGACATAATTTCTTGTTTAGTTACAAAGTTCCGCTGTTCAAGTCCTATAATTGCTGTGTCGAGAATACCGACCAATTTGTCAATCGAAATTTTTTCGTTTTCGATAACCTATGTCACTTTCTTCGCTATCGGAAGCGAATTATAATGACGAGGCATTTGATTTAAATCATATCAAAGACGGAGTACATCGAGATGAAATACTACATTGAGTAATCAATTATAAGACAAATAAAATAAAAACATCTGCCCTTAAGATAAGGATAGTGCTGACAAATCAACTTCCAGTTCATTGCACGCCGCTGAGCGTTAAAGATAAACAAAGTTTAGATAAACAAAGAATATGCCTTTATCCATTTTTTGTTTAATGGATTCTGAAAGATACTTTCGCTTTGTATATCCTTTACGTATTAGTAAATATATATCGGAAATTCTATTTGACATAATCGAAAAATTCAAGCTTACTTTTATAAAATTGCTCTAACAGTCTGCAAAAAATAATAATCCGGATCCAATTCGAAGGTTAAGGAACAACGCAATCTGCAACATTAACTGAAATAGATAATTAGATTATTTTAGCTTAGCTTATCCCGTCCGTTATACATTAAACGCGCATTCGTAAACGTATTTTGCGCACACGCGAATTCGCAGCGGTAAAGGTCTTACGCGCATGCGTCAAAGCGACGCATGCGCAGAAAGATTGTAGCTTTGAGGTCCGGATTATAGATCATTCCGGATTATGTGTGTCCGAATTAACGACTTTTGACTGTACCACATGACTTCCTAGCACGAAATATTAAATTATACGCATTTTTCTTGCATTTTCATTTAAACTTATTGGATTGAATTAAATCTACTTTGCCAACAGCGCATAAACCACAATAGAATAACTGCATTCTTTAAAATTCACTCTAGTATTTGTTTACCATAGCAACACTCTGGCACTAGATTCACTTAACAGTATTAATAATAATATAACAGTTAACTTATATAATAATTATACAACGGAAACTAAGTTAACTGTTATATAATCCAATAATTATATAACAGTTAACTTATATATTCGTTCATATTATAACTCATAATGCACAAAATTTATATCATTTAAAGAATAGAATTATCTAATCGTTGCCACATGTTCTATTCAAATACTATAATAAAGCTAGAATGATGTATAAAAGAAATTAAGCAAACAAAACAAAAAAGAAACAGTTTTTTACAGACGATTGAGTATTTCTCATTTAATTAATTCAATTCTCATTTCACGAGAAGGCAAAAATACATAAAAACTCAAAATATCCATATTAAAAATTACGAAGTAAATCTTAAACACTTATTTCCTCGAAAAAATTCCAGAAAGAATTAAGCATGATTTAATTGGCAATAATAAATGAATGTGTTATCTTTTGTTGTTGCGAAGCTAAGTTTTTTCTAGATTGGCAACAAATCCACTATTTCTGCCAAGTTTCAAAATGTAAACAATCAATGTCCGCCATCGCAACATTCATTAGCGGCAATTAAACAACTTTAAAAAATTGTTGATAATTCTAAAAATATTGCATGCAAAGATTTACTAAAAGGCATATAAAATCCTTAACCGGAATGATAAGAGTCACAACATAATTCAATCATTTTTTTAAAGCAAAAAAATGTACAATTTACAAACATATAAGAGTAGAGAACCTGAGATCACTGAGCCGGGTAACAGAGTGGATATACTATATAAATATATTTATATACGTTTGGTGCGGCCGATTGCAACCAAAATACGAGGTGCACATCTACATGTTCATAGGCAGTCCTATATAAGAAATTTCAACGTTCTGAGGCTACTCGTTTTTGAGTTATGCGAGATACGTAGGTACGCACGTACGTCCGTTACAGAATTTGGCCATTTAAAAATTCTCTTCAGAATTAATTTTAAAGCAGTTGTATAATTTTTTTGGAGGAAAAGAGTATTTTATTCTGTCCTTATGTACAGATATCGCGCAAAAACATCGTTAAATTGCATTCGATAGCGGTCAAAATGGATATTTTCGTTGAAATATGCTGCCTGAAACTTTTCGCGATTACAATACTTCCTTTTTACTTCGTACAAGGAAGTAAAAAGGGTAAATCACATGAAAGAAACACATCAATTAAATAATAGAAGCTTAACACAACAAAAACAAGATGTGGTAATAAACAAAGTATTTTATTACCAGGGAATAAAGATATTATTAATGAAGATCATAGAAAAATCTATATCTTTATCATTCTGTCTAATAACAGTATTATACATATTAAATTTACATTTTCATTAATTTTAATTTATTAAGACATTTTTGAAGGCATAATTCAGTCAACTTCCCGCTCACAGGAGCTTTTCTTCTTGGCTTTCTTTAACTTCCTAAAAAGAAAGTCTAATATAAGTTTTTTTTCACAGACATGTACTAACGGAAAGTAACAAAACGGAAAAAGAACCCCGTATTTATTGCAACAAAAGGACTCCCTTAATAGCTGCCCAAAGCAGAAAATGATTTAAATATGAGAAGATTCATAAAATAAAGAAAAAAGTTAGTAGTAAAATCTACATAAATATAACATTAAAATTCAAGAATTCCAATGTCTTTTATTTTACTTATCAATAATAAATATATGAATTAGTAGTTACTGCATTTCTCTTCTGAAAATAAAATAAACTTAGCATAAAAAATCTAATACATATGGTATTTGTTCTTTACATAGAGACATTAGACAACAAATAGAAATTAATTCCTTTAAGTTCTGAAATGGTGGAATAGCATGTTTCTGTTCTGCATTAGACTTATGGCAAAAATCACTAAACAGATTAAACAAAATTTCATTTGTATTTTATACTAATCATAGAAACTAATTATAAGTTTATAGTTTCATAGAATTAGAACACATAAAGATAGATATGCATCATGTTCACAAAATCTTTATGCAGCCTTTATTTATATAACTGTTGGCTGCAGGCATACACTTCCAGTCACAGAACTGGCCTACATATGGCAAATATTCATATTTTAACATATTTTTAGTGAATTTTTTTTTTGTTTTTTGTAAAAAGTATGAAATCTAACATTTTATATAGTCTCCCAATCCAGAATTTAAATATTTAGAAAAAACTCCAGAATTTAACTATATAGCAATATTTAGAAGAAACTTATTCTCAATCTTTTTTTTTTAAAGGCAAAGTTTAAGTAAAGGCATTTAAAAAAAAAAAAAAAGACAAAAAGAAAAACAAACAATGACCAAATTATTTAATTTTAAATTCTGGAATTTTTATAGATTTTTCAATGTTTGAAAAAGAACTTACCACTCCCTTAGATTGTTGCTTAAAAAATAAATTAAGACAATTCCATGTTGATTTTTTCCCACTTAATGTAAATTCAGTTCTTTTGCAATTTAATTCAGGTGTAATTTTCTTTGATTTAAAATTTAAGATGCTAAAAATACATTAATTTTTCATGAAATTTTAATACTTTAGAATCACAATCTAATAACCATAAAAAAATTAAATTAAATTAAATTAGAATATTTTTATTTTTAATTTAAGCAAACAATCCTTTAGAATTGGCTATGCGCCAATATTGAAGCCTGCTGAATATGAAGTCCACAGCATCCTGTAAATAGAATCTTCTTTTTGAAAAATTGTATTGATTAAAACTTTCACCATAGTCAGCATATCGGTACATATATCACTTAAACTATTAACACCAGAAAAGTTTTTTTTTTTTTTTTTTTTTTTTTTTTTTAAACTTGATGCGCTTCATATTAATTTAAATAATTTGCTTTTCAATTTGTGTAAGACCTCTGAATTTTTAGAACATGTAATCTCAAATTTTACAAACTACTGATAAATTTTTACAGTATGCGTTTCATTTTTTAGAATAAATATAAATTTTCACTAAATATAACAAGATGGACTGGGAGACTATATTAAAAGTTAGAAGCCATAATTTTTACAAAATTGATTTTTTAAATCTGAAAGAGCAAAATATAAATATCAGCACTATTTAAAGTATTTTTTACCTGGATATATATGTCTATGACTAACAATTGCAAAAATAAAGTCTGCATAAAACCCCTTATACATATGGTATATAATTGAACTTTATTACATATGAAACAATAAATTCATGTGAAAAGTAAATGGAAATTTCAGATAAACTTCAGATTAAAATTCCTAAGTGCAAAACATAAAAATTATTTCAGATTAAAATTTCTAAGTACAAAATTGTAAAATTCCTAAGAGCAAAACCTGAAAATTATTTACACAAAATGGCTATCATAAATTTGACAAGAAAATAAAATGAATTTTAATTAAAAAATATTAAAGGATGACATTATTATTAGCAATTTAAAACTGGATACGTGAAACTGACCTTTAAATACAATCCTTGTAATATAAGCAGGCAAACATTAAGTCATATTCACTCAATATAACAATTTACTACATAAATTAAGTTACATTTTATTTTTATTACATTTAGCATTATTAAGCAAGTTTTTTAGAGCAGTCATGGACTGTGGCCCTCGCAGTATAACTCACTATCCTGTGTTATACAATATATATCCTGTGTTAGATTAAGTATTTTGTGTGTGATCATTTTCATATATGAAAGATTGATACTTTTATTTAACATGCTTTGGTATTTCTTCTAAAAATACTGCACAAGACCAAAATTTATCACACTGGAAAATTCTTTAAAAATTTCTATCTGCAATTTTCTGAATAAAATGGGTTTAATGAATTACTATTAAACAAATAAAGATAAGGAAACAAAAATATGAAAATTAAAAAATGGCAGTTAGTAATTCTTCCTCCATAATTTTGTATAAAATGCTTTTTTTTTTTTGTACTTTCCTGTTTTGCCGGCACAGGCGATGAATTTGCCAATAATGGTAAAACTGATTCCAAACTTAATATCCTAGCTGGCAATCTTTTATGACTCATTTTCGAAACAAGTTGCAGCCATTTCTTATCAGATTGATTGTCTTTCAGTATTGGCATACAATTACATAGAACTTTTAACAGATAGTCCAATTTTATGCCCTAAAGGCATTCACGGTAATTGAGTCAATTAGGATACAATCACACCGCTCACCCGAAGGCAAAAATATACAAAAGGCAAAGTCAAGGGTTAAATTCATCAATTCTAATAAATATATGAATTAGTAGTTACTGCATTTCTCTTCTGAAAATAAAATAAACTTAGCATAAAAAATCTAATACATATGGTATTTGTTCTTTACATAGAGACATTAGACAACAAATAGAAATTAATTCCTTTAAGTTCTGAAATGGTGGAATAGCATGTTTCTGTTCTGCATTAGACTTATGGCAAAAATCACTAAACAGATTAAACAAAATTTCATTTGTATTTTATACTAATCACAGAAACTAATTATAAGTTTATAGTTTCATAGAATTAGAACACATAAGATAGATATGCATCATGTTCACAAAATCTTTATGCAGCCTTTATTTATATAACTGTTGGCTGCAGGCATACACTTCCAGTCACAGAACTGGCCTACATATGGCAAATATTCATATTTTAACATATTTTTAGTTAATATAGAAATATATAACAATAATTAATATTATTAAATTATTATATTATTATATTAAATATATAATAATTTAGTTAATATAAAATATAATATATATAAATATAGAAAATATGTTATAATAAAATAACATATTTTTAGTTCAGATAATGCACTAGCGAAGTAAAGCACTGCGGTTTTACATAATTTCTGAGTAAGCTATTCGTATGAATTGAAAATATTCTGCATTTAAACATGTCTTCCAAATTCAGATCTAACTTGAAATTAATGTAGATAATTACTGAGAGAATTAGCTTTTTGTAACGTTATTTACGTGATATGAGATCACATGGGATCACGTGATATGAACCGGCAAATAAGGATGTTGAACCATGAAAGCATAGTAAATTCTTAAATTAATGTCTTTTTACAAATTTAATGTCTTTATTTATTGGCTTTTTTACAAAATTTTAAATATTAAAATGTTATAGCTTCAAAATAAAAAAATTTTAGAACATTATCATTCAAATGTTAATTTGTTAACATTTTTTATGTGTATACTGTATATTGTTGCCAATAAAGTCTGCTTGGCGATATTTGCAATGAGTCTGCTTGCTGATGCAATAAGTCTGCTTGGCGACATATGGCAAATATCATATTTTAACATATTTTTAGTTAAATATAGGAAATATATAATAATAATTATATTATTAAATTATTATATTAAATATATAATAATTTAGTTAAATATAGAAATATATAATATATATAAATATAGAAAATATGTTATAATAAAATAACATATTTTTAGTTCAGATAATGCACTAGTGAAGTAAAGCACTGCGGTTTTACATAATTTCTGAGTAAGCTATTCGTATGAATTGAAATAATTCTTGCATTTAAACATGTATTCCAAATTCAGATCTAACTTGAAATTAATGTAGATAATTACTGAGAGAATTAGCTTTTTGTAACGTTATTTACGTGATATGAGATCACATGGGATCACGTGATATGAACCGGCAAATAAGGATGTTGAACCATGAAAGCATAGTAAATTCTTAAATTAATGTCTTTTTACAAATTTAATGTCTTTATTTATTGGCTTTTTTACAAAATTTTAAATGATATTAAAATGTTATAGCTTCAAAATAAAAAAATCTTAGAACATTATCATTCAAATGTTAATTTGTTAACATTTTTTATGTGTATACTGTATATTGTTGCCAATAAAGTCTGCTTGGCGATATTTGCGCTGGGGAAACAGAAAAGTAATCCCTTTTTTTTAAAAAAAATTTTTTTCTACATGTATTATAATATTTTTAAAAAAATTATTTACTTCAAAAATTAATTTGAACTTTAAAAAATTAAACTTTGCAACAGGATATCCTTCCATATGTTTTCCAGCATTACACAGACAAAGTGGCCATTAAATAAGGAAAAAAAAAAAAAAAAAGACTTCCTTGATATATATGAACCTCTAGCAGCCTATCTGCTCAACCAGTCAAAATGAATTTCAGATATTCTTATTTGAAGGTATGCACTTGAAACTATCATAATTTAAAGCAATAAAATTCTCATGGTTATAGTGAAAAAAATGAAAAAATTTTCCCTCCTTTATCCTGCCCAAATTGATTGGCACTCTTACTGTTGTCTACTATTATAAAGGACGTTTATAAAGGACAGTGAGTAAATTTTCCATATTTCCTATTTCTGCAGTTTAAGCATTTAAAAAAAATATATTTCCATATCATATAATAAACACACTGCAACCACAACAATTTCATTCAATGAAACTGTTGTATTTATCATATAATACAGGTGTATTGTGATGTGTGATGGCTCTCATGGCTTGTAATATGATGTGTGTAAAAAGACAAGAATGGATACTACACTTGGACACCTTTTAAATCAACTGCATTATGTGAAGCTCAGCAACTAACTTGGAAAAATACCTCATGTTATTTTCCATGTCACAATTACACTGCAGCTTACCTAGTATGCTATGAATTTTTTTTTGTATTGTTTTGTACAATATGGAGTACAGCCCTGTTTGGAATAAAGAATAGAAGTGCAATTAAGAAGGAAATCTGTGTGTGTCTTTTGCTTGCTGGAAAATCTCTCAACCATAGCCTGTAGGAAATCTGGGTGACCAAGAACATACCTTGTGTAAGCCTTTTGAATTAATATACAGTTTGAAATCCAGGCAACCAATATCTGGAATGATCTAATACCCAGACCTCTGGACCACTGGGGGATTTTTCTATACAAAGTATACAGTATCTGAGGAATGGAGAATAAAATATGCGAGAAAAAGCAGGTACTTCATAAAAATGATTTTTCCCACTAACTGATATTCCTGTACACCATTTTGAACACCTGGTGGCTAGGGGATGGCACTGCTGTTAATGGCAATCATATTATCAATATTATTATTTTAGTAAATGATATAATTTCCCTTTTTCCTCTTTTACCAGAACTATACATCCGTCAATTAGATGATTGATATCGGAATTTTGCATACACTGAAACGCAGCTATAAAGTAGCTTTTTAAAAACTGATGCAGCAGCAAACCATCTTAGAATTTAACAAATATTTTAACACAAATTCTAATGTATGGGGTCCTGCAAGATTTTTTTAAATGCTTGTATTATTGCTTGACATAATTCATAGCCAGCTACAAAATTTCATGATGATGATGATGATGATGAAAGCCACAAACCTATTCAAAAGTTTCCAATTAATGCAATATGAAAGTAATATCTGAAGTCTTATATCACAGTGAAAATTCCTTGATCATCAATCAATTAACAAAATGCTGATTATCTGTAGTATAATTTTAAATCCAGAATTATTTTTATTTCAGTTTCAATTTCATGTGGCAGTGATTCAGAAAATATTTATTTCTTAAAGAAATATTAATAAAGAATATTTTTAATTTTATACATGCCATTTTACTAAATTTAAACTGATGATCTGAAACCCCCAAATTTCGAAAATCTGGAATCTTACTGTACTATCTAATCTTAATCATTCACTTTCATGCTCATCAATATACATACAACTTTCTCTGCCACACCCATGTGCATATATTTTTTAATATTCTGAATTTTTTTAAAAAAGATATACTGGTTGTTTTAGCATTCTTTTAGAAAACCACTGTCTAAAAAAAACTCATTTTATATAAAAATGTGCTAACATTTATTTCAAACATTAAAAAAATATTTCTTGTAAAACAATTCACCTAATAAAAAGATTTTGGACTAATTTTGCAGAAACTGTTATTGAAAATGACCATGATAAAAGCTTTTAATTTTGACATTAAATTAACAACACCTATAATATGATCTTAACAATGAAAAATAAATAAAAAGAATGATAATGTATTAAGAGTTAAATATATATTACAATTATAGGCTAACTATGTTACAATGAATTAAAAAATAAGAAAATATATTGCAGAATGGTTTTAATAAGTGAAAATAATAATAATAATGAAGCTCTCATATAGAAAGACTTTAAAATTTATACATATAAATTTTCAGCTGTGTTAAAATTATTTAAATTTAGTTTGCCTAAAATAACACGTACCAGAAATTAAAAAAGATGATTTGTATAAGATGCATGCAAAAGAATTCTAAATATATATTTTAAAGATATATTTCACTCAAATGGCAGAAAAATACAAAAAATTACTTTTTCTTATGCTTTCTTTTTCTCTGTGCTTTATATTTTTCATCTTCTGAAGAATAACTTAAGGAACGGGATCGTGATCTAGAATTTCTGTTCTTACTACTCTGATGCCTACTGCGATAAGAGTCACCATTACGATCTGAATATTTATGCCTTGATGAACCATAATGATCATCCTCATGATCATCCGAGCCAGATGCTCTGTCATAACGATATGAACTAGCCTTGGAATGACGATTATTGTTTTGTTCAGGTGATTGATCCCTATGATGTCTATGCCGCTCACTACGATGTCCACGATAGGAATGCGTTCTCTCCTCTTTTGATCTACTGTGGTTGCTCCGCGATGAAACAGAAATCCTATCTTTAAGTCTACCAGACAAATCTCTATCTGCCTCCCAAAATTCATTGGATGGATTTCGAAAAACATGTAGAAAATTGCAATTAATGCCTTTAGGACACAAATGTCGTTCATACAAACCTATGAAGATAAGATATATTACAGTCTGTCTAATTAACTAAATTAATAGAATACAAAATCTCAATAACTTATCAATACAGTAATGGCATTTAACTATTAAGAAAAATAAAAGCTGAAAGATTTCAGATTTTATATTATGCTAAAACAGGCATTCCCCCCCCCCATTTACAGACACATGTTTTGAAAGCATTTAGGCTAACTCCACTTTGAACTGAAACTATTTAAAAACAGATTATCTTTAGAATTTCTGATAGACAGTCTCACGTGCTAAGGATTAAAAATGTTTTACTCCCTACAGTATTGCCACTGCTGGCTTTGAAATCATTGAGTTTTTTAAAATATGAAATAAACAAAAAGCAAATTTGAAATTCCAATTTCAGGCTTGCAGGTGCTCATATTTGAGTGGAGGGCTACACTTTTCAAAATTTGATGGCTGTAGGTACTATTGTTTTTTTATGTAATGATTGTTATGATAAGTATTCTACATGTATCATATGAAATCAGCAATTCAATAAGCTAGGTTTAAATGCATTAATATTTAAACAAATTCTGCTCATCAAATCAGTTATTCAGGATAGGATAATGGAATATAATTAAAATCACAACCATCCAATTAAAAGCAAACTATTACAAAATTTTATTTGCATTATATATTTTATCTTTGTTCTGATTTATTCCCATTCATGTTAATAATAAAATATTTCATTTATATGATGCATAAATCTCAGCATATGTCATCCCCCAATTAATTATTAATGTTTCAATTCCAAGCTAAAACAGTGAAGTATCATTTCTATCTTTCAGCAGTATATTGTTGTGTTCTACGGGTTCGTGGATTTAGAGTGATTAAGGACAACACTTGATAAAGAATCAAAACACAATTTATCAGCCAGTATTACACAGGGAGTTCCAAAGACACGTTTACAGCCATTGAAAAACTATGATAAATACGCTGAAACAATCAGCAACGCAGCCTTCAGGCTATAACGATGAAGACAGCTTCACGGCACAGCACTAAAGTACAGCTCCCGACGCGGCTCGGTGACTCCTATACTACTTATAATTCTGAAAAAAAAAAAAAAAAAAAAAAAAAAAAAACCTCCACAAGATTTTACTTTTCCATGTTATAGTCTCTGATCTGATAAAGTTAACTTTGTTCCAGAATTTGCTGAAGCTTAAGTTTTGCTACCTGGGTAAAATTCTAGTAACAAACAGTGTTATGAGTAAATGACTCCACTTTTTGCTCTTGAAGTGCATTTAGAAGATCAGTGAATAAATTGGATTTAAACTGAGTTTGATTCTTTTCCACAATACAGAAAATCTTTCCAGTTGCTGAACAACGCATTTTGTAATATGTGAACAACTTCCTTTCTCACAGAATTTCACAGAGCAGTTGCATTAGTCCTTCAACAAATGGCATTTTTAGTCTTGACAGAATTGAAAAACACTGGTTCAAAGAATTTCCATGGAGAAAAGAATTTTCAGTATATGCAACTGGACTATTGTGCTCTAGAAGAAAAGATGATAAAAAAAGCTCAGCATCTGTCATATAATTGTTGTTATTTTTACAAAAAATGATGTATTGCCTTCAAAAGCAGATTTTATTATCATTTATTCTTGATGTTTATTTGATTGTATGTGCCCCATTAAAGTTATCACACTTCTGATGAGCGATTGTCACAAAGTCACAACTGCACAGAGAGCATGACAAATTTTCCAAAAATTCTAAAGCAAATAAACATGGCCACTACAACTCTGCATTTTTGAAAATATTTTTGCATAAGTAACATGATATAAATATTTATCACAACAGTATTTAATAAAAATATACATGAGAGTTGCACATGCATGATTATAGCTTTAACAAGCAATGTACTGAAGCCAGTCATTGTTAATATAACATATCATGTAAGCATAATGGTTTGAGTCAATTTTACATACTGATTGTAATGTCAGCACAATCCCTGCAGTCATGACATAAGCACAATCATACATATGAATCATTCAGTTTTGTTCATTTACACACACTAATCATATGATACAAATTTGGCATTTTCTATAGTAATTCTTGTTACATCCATATAAGAAAGTAGAAATCAGTAATAAATATGGTATATCTAAAAATAGTTGACATGTTTACAGTAATATAAAGAACTTGTTGTTTCATTTATCACCAAGTTGTTGAATGTTATGGAAACCCTATTATGACGTAATTGGTTGCATGATTGCAGTAAATTCGTAAGGGGTGGTGTGTGTTAATTAGGAAGTATATTACTTGTTTTGTGGTTTAGACGGTAAAATGTCTGAATGTGGTAAGATTAATTTGAAATTTTGGTACGATTTGGAAAGAAAGGGAAAAAGAGCGTTACTTGACTGGTTAGTAAACAACAGTTTACTTAGTAGCCATTATTAAATGTCCTGGTTGTAGGAAGGAAATGTGTACGGTCGAACGTCAAACAATAACGGCGCTACGGAGGATATTTTTGACTCTTATTTTGTGAATTTATGTGGCGATGCCAGCATACAGATTCTAGTTCAGATAATTTTAGGAAGTTTTTGGATGCTGTTAAGGAATTTTGTTTGACTGAAGACATGTTAATTTGTAAATAAGGTAAGTAGATATTTCCTTTGTGTAGTGCAAAGATTAATTTCCTTTTTAATGTTATTTCATTGTTTGATTTATAATGTAGTTTATTGAAATTATACACTTTTTTGTTGGTTGCTCATCTGACTTTTTAAGTGAATATGGTTTGATGCACACATGGACAAAGTCAAGGGAGTGCACAATGCCTAGTTTGTGAAATTCTATGTTTTTTTAAGTGAAAATAGGTCGATGTGTATACATGCATCAAGTCAAGGGAGAGCGCAATGCCAAGTTTGTGCAATTCTCTGATGTCTTTTTAAGTGAAAATAGGTTAATGTGTACATGAATACCTAGTTTGTGCAATTCTTTTCTTGTTATTTTGGCTTTCTGTAGCCCAAAAATCACCACTAAACAAGCCAAAGAATTGTACAAACTTGGTATTCATGTACCACCAAAAATCGCCACTTTTCGCCAAGGGGTACCCGTAAATATATTTTTACCAAAAATTCAATTATTATGTACATCATATGTCAGATATATGACAAAGCATCATTTATATACACATATCTACCATATTTATCAGGTGGCTTGGACATATTTTTAGGTATGACAGATTGAACCCTGTGAACCCTTTTGATCTGACTTTTGCATGATTAAAACTTAACTATGAAAAGTAGTTAGAAGTGTAATACGAGTTTAAAGTTTTTAACTTTTCCCATTTCCTGGAAATCTCCTGGGACAATATGTCCCAATCATATTGCCAACTGGGACTATTTGGCCCAATTGTCTAGGATCTTACCCTTTCTCAGAAAGCAAAACTAAAATTTACGGTAATATATAACGTGAATATTACAAAACATAAACTCTGTCACAAGCACTAGTTTATATGTTCATATGTAATAAAAATTTTCACACACGTTTCATTAGACACAAACATATCAGCATGTAGTAAGTAATTTGATCAATGGTGGGATGTATTAGTACACTGATAAATACGATTGGGACAATATATCTTACAAAAAAAAAAAATAAATAAATAAAATCTGACTTTAAAAATGTTAAATTACTACTTAATAAAAACAATAAGAGCTATTTCATATTAAGTGTGCCTTAAATATAATTGTACTTACTGTAAAATAGACAAATCAAAACTTAAGTAATCGGAGTGTTCAAAAATATAAGTGTGTCATCTGCAATCTAAAAGTGTTGCCAGGTTTCTTTAGTCACATATTTGTTCCCTAATTCTTTAAAAATACTGCAAATGTAAAAACCCATTTAAAAGTGGGTTTTATTTAGTCAATAGGGTATGAAATCTAATCTCTGGGACGTATGTGCTCATTAGGGGCAAAAGGGTTAAAAAGACAGCTTGAACTCTGTTGAAAAAGGTGACTTTTGCATGTGTAGAGGGTATCAAGAAAAGAGGAAGACCTTGCAAAAGATAGATAGACTGTGTGAAGGCAGACCTCAGGACTCTAAAAATTAATTGTTGGCGGGCTGTAGTGAATAATTGGATACGTTGGAGGAAGCTTGTTGAGATGGCCTTGCCTGTGATAGGCTGTAGTGCAACGAAAGAAGATATATTTCTGGCATATTCACCCCCATGTCCTAAAAATAAAAAAATATTAAAAAAAAATTGCATAATTTTCTCCTTCCTCAATGCATTAAGAAAACGAACTTTGCTAAATTATATAATGGATTTATCCTTAGTGATTGTTTTCCTCTTATTAACCAAAACCTTGAACTAACAAACTACCTGTGAAGATCAAACCTTTCTCTTCTAATAGATGAACTTCATGTAACCAATCACTGTAAAGCAAACACAAACTGCCATTCAATTTACAATTTCACTCAGTCAGCTGTGCATTCACCTCCTTATATTATATTTATGGATGATTTGAGGCTTAAGAAGTAACAGAAACAACAGTAAGAATATGCAAGATTCAAATTACTGGGATGTAGAAATGAATATATCTTATTAAATATTGTAATATTAATATTGCTATGTATTCTTATTGAAATGCAGGTTTTTTTAAAGAAATAATATTGTGATAGTTACCTGAAGTTCATCCATGACTACTTTTCATTTATTATATACTTACTGTAAACATGCTCTTAGTTATTCACACAATCTTCCTCTCTCAATTTTCATATGATAAAATTAGCAAAAAAGGGGAAAAATTAGCTAGAAAATATGGCACATTTCAGAGAGAAACATTTTCTTTTAATGCTATTTACAATTCAAATTCGCTTTCTTGCCCTCTCTCCTCTCTACACAAATATGATGATGACTGCTTACAAACCAATTATAAACATCCACCTGGTTTTTTAATAGCTTGTAAAAAATGAAAGAAATGCCTAGCATGAGTTCGACAGAGACTGTTAAAAAATTTCTCAAAAGAGACTTAAAAACATCCAGTTGAAAATCTTTGAATAAAATAGTTTTATTATCATTTAAAAAATACTTTTCATTACTAATAGAAATGTATATTAGAATGAAAGAAAAATATGCAAAATACAATTTCGATTTCTTTTATTTAAACTCCATAAAAGCATAAATTCAGAGCAATTTTAAAGTTTTACACTGATCAAAATTTTGACAAATAAATAACCAAAAGGTAAATCAGATACAATAAATAATGCAGATAACCCAATTTTCAAAAACAAGAACATCAGACTTAAAAAAATATAAGAAACCTTTTGCTGTATGAGTAAGAATAAATTTAAGAGTATGTCTATATGTGTGTGTGAATGTAATAATTTATACAAATTTGTATAATTCAGATACTTGCAATCATAGATAATAAAATACAATTTTCTTTATTGTGGAGAAGCACATTCTTAACATGAATTATACATTGTAATGGGTGCAATCTGTGCACCCACTGGTTCACATATTTGTCTATTTTGAATCTTCTGATTGATGAAGAGAGAGAGAGAGAAATAAACAGCAAGAAGTTTAAAGGACAGCAAGTAAAAGCAGGCATGTGATGTGTTCAAATGAAAATTTTACGACAGAAATGATTTGAGTTTCAAGTCAATTTTTTCAATGCTTCTAATGGCTATTAATAAAAGATTCGTTCCAAATGGAATCTTATTCTCTGAGGTGAATATAAGTGCTTGCATCATTAGGATTACATAAGGCTTATATGATTATGTATTAATCTGGAAGTTTTACAATTTAGAGAGATTTATTACAAGCAGTTACTATTTTTAGAACAAAAAATGTTTCTTTTAAAGAAATAATAATGTGATAGTTACCAGTGATTTATCTATGACTATTTTTCATTTGTTATTCTCTTATTATAACCCCCTTCTTTGGAAATTAAATTATTTCTGTTTCTTTTAAAGAAATAATATTGTGATAGTTACCAGTGATTATGATAGTGTGATAGTTACCACTATGACTACTTTTCATTTGTTATGTTCATATTATATTATAAACCCCTCCTTTGGAAATTAAATTACTTGCATAGTACCCCCTCTTGATTTTCTCGATAAAATTAGTAAAAAAAAATTGGGGAAAAATACACAAGGAAATATAACACATGAACAGATCTCTTTACTGATTTTGGTACTTTCTGATTATTTGCACCATGCATTCACGAGGCAATGCCCTCACAAAAATAGGCAATCCAAAATGTATTTACATGGCAACCCAGGTGTGCATGTGCACAGCAGATGAACAGTATTTGTGTTTATTTTTGTGCACTGAATGCATTTTTTTTTTTTGCTTACAAGGAATCACTATGGGATTGTGGAGTTTATTGGCTGATAAAAAAGAAAGTCTGAAATGCTATTTTGCCTGAGCATGCAAAAATTTGCATTCCTTGAAGTTATAATTTATAAGTGATAAAATTGTATGGATCAAAATTTGTTTCACGCTGCTTGTTTTTTCTTGTTCATGTTGTTTGATCATAATTCTGTATTTTTTTAAGTGAAACAGATTGCTGGGTATATGAAAAACAACAAGTGTGTGCAATGCCAAATTTAAGCAATTTTATGTATTATGGAACCAAAAACAGGTAGCTGTGTACATAGAGAAAACAAGATCCCCACAAAACCAACAACAAAGTAAGTTTTTTATTATGGATGTTTCTTGCATTTCAAATTTTGCTCATTGGTTGTTATTCTATGCAATTCTTAGTACTCTCTCCTATTTTGAAAAAAGGTTGTTGTCTATCACATTTAGGCTAGTGAAAAATTAATCTTCAAAAGTTTGAAATTTTTGGGGAGGGAAGTGCAGACAATCAGAAAATACTCCGATTTCTACAGATAATTTTAATATTATATAAATTAACAAGCCCTACTACAGCAGTAAAAATTTTGTTATGATTATATAGTACAGTAATATTAAATTTGCATAAAATTTAGTATGTAACTAGCAAAGCTTTCTCTCAAAGCTACACCAGTTTGAGTTCTAAAGATACATTTCAGGAAACAGCAGATTCAAGTAACATGAAAGGGAAAAACAATAATTACTGTTAGTATTTTTAATGATAGAAATCCTATATTCAGAATAAGTTACACTGGGAACTGGCAACTATTTGGGGGGGGATGTTGCGATATAAAATGTTGTAAGTAATGCCTTAATGATCATTATTAAAATAAGATGCTATTCATTAATCTAATAATGAATGAATAAAATACTTACCACAAATAGCAGATCGCCACTTGATCACATGAGTGAATTCACATGTGATTTGCTTTCCTGCATAGTATCGACCATTGAAATTCTTGTATGCTTCTACTGCTTCTTCTTCTCTAAATACAGATAAAAATTAATTGTAAATCACAGTATGTCTGTTTCTGTTACAAGTATGTTCATTATTAACATACAAAATTACTGTCACTACTGAACAGTAAAAATTCTAACTTTGAATATTGAACATAAACATTTCCACGAAGATGAGGCTCATGATTGCTGCACACTTTAAACTGAATAACTTTGCCAAACTTTTTAAACTCAGGCAGCACATCCCAGTAAAAGTTTTCAAAGTCCTGATATCTTTCCTTGTCTTCATATTCAAGGGCTATATCAGTATCATAATCATCTCTTCCAGTTTGATCAATGCTGAAATGACTGTACATTCCTTTTATTAAAATGGTACAACTTACAGGGGGATGTATATGACCTCTTGAGCATCTGTAATACAATTAGCACAAATCAACAAATTAAATGTGCAATATGAGCTATACAAATGCTTTTAAACATAATCACAAAGTATATCAACAATTTCATAGAAAAGTCTAAAACACTATGACAGGAATTCGTAAGGAATCATCAATTTTTACTTTAATTCAGGTGTATAATAATAGTGAAATTTTTAAAATTTCTACATTGATTATTTCCAAACTTATTGTCCGCCATTTGACTGGCATGAAAGACATATGATTAATATCTTGTATACTTCTGATAATCTTCAACTGTTTAATTTCCAGATGCCTATAATCCATGCTCATTTTTGGACGTAAATAAATCAAATATTGGCTTTTAGAAAACCAAAATAGTAAGTTTAAAGGCAATTTTTTTTTCTCACAAAAATACACTGTATTTATAACATATTTTAGAACATTTCTGTTAAAAGACTCCAAAACTCTTAAAACTTTTAGAACATTTCTGTTAAAAGACTCCAACTCTGTTAAAAGTTACCAAATGTGCACTAAAGCAGCAAATGCAGTAGCCTACTTATATCGCAACATGAACATCATCATGTTTATTCAGAATTTTAAACCTTAAAATTATATATTGAACATGACATAAATGATAATTTATATCACACTTAATCAACACAATGTTGAATTTATGCAGTTCTCTGATATTTTTTAAGTGAAAACAGATCTCTGTGTACATGGAGAGAACAATAGTTTTACTCTACCCACATACACAGAGATCTGTTTTCACTTAAAACATCAGAGACTTGCACAAACTTGCCATCAAGTAAAGCACTGCACACATTAAGTACTAAATATATTATGTTTATTATATATAAAATAGTTAATCTTTTCATGAAGCTTGCTGCTATCTAATTAGATTTCACCTCAACATTTATGTATAAGCACGAAGTGGTACACCCTGTTAACAGAAAAGTACCTAATTTTGACTGAAGAAGTGGATTACTTTATTTTTGAAACCATTTAGCATATTCAGTGTTAGAGCTCTCCATGTGACTAATAATGCGCAAAAAATTAACTCATTCATATTTTGGATGATGAATTTTCATTTAAATACTTCTTGTAGATAGTTTGTTAAAAAAAAAAAAAAAAAAATACTAAAACTAGATCTAGCAGAGATTTTGCTGATATTAAAAAAGATATTAAAATTCCTTTTAATACATCCAAAATTTTAATTTTAGCATTTTTTGTTAGCTGGAAGTAGTACTATTAATTTCACTGCACATTATATAACATAATGGTATATTGGTAGAATTAAAACAAGATACAATTTAGGAAAAAACATACTGTTACAGGTTTTATAAACAGCACATTTATTCATGTATTTTCCCTTTTGTTTAAGAATGTGTAAATTACTTTGAAAATAATTTCATTCATGAATACGCATTTTGTTTTTCTTCCATAAGTACTCTGACACATTTTTTTAAAAGACTTCTATACTTTCTCAAAACAACTCCCTATAAATCATTCCCTTTCCTCTCCAGAATATTTTCCCTTTGTACTGATACTAGTTTCTTTGTACATAAATGTATTAAAAAGTATAATTTTTCTGTATTCAATAAATTCTGTTTAAATAATTCTTAAGGCATGACTTGATTAGTTATTAACATGCAGATAATCTAAATTTATGAAATACAAAATGTAAACCAAACTCAGGAGGACATGACCTACAACCTGCAAAATTCTATAATCTGCAGAAATCGGCTGTAACACCCCCTCCAAAAAAATCTGCCATAAAATGTTAAAATTTTAAAGAGAAAGTTTACTGATTTTAATAATTTCCCCTTTTTTCAGAAAGGTGAAAAACAATTTAATAATAAAATACATTAGTTTAATGGTTAAGAGAAATACTGATTTCAGTATATATATGTAATTTTATTTCTTCTTGCTTAAAAAAAAAAAGGACAAAGGGGAGATCATTAGCATTTTACAAAAAGCAGAATACTCTTTGTGACTGCCTACAATTTATAAGCAAAATTCCAACAAATGCTTTCCTCATTATAAAATTTCTTTACTAAAGTTTTATTCTGTGCTCAGTAATAGTTAAAATCAGGAACAGTTTATTGAAATAAAAAATAAAAATGAATTCTCGAAAACCATAAAATTATGAATACACACATTAACACCATCAAGAGTAAAATTAATTAAATGATGCTAATTAACAAAAAATACCTTTCACCAAATCTACAACAACCAGTTTTAGCAAAAAACTGACACTGCTCTCTTTCTTTTCCAAGATTGTAGTTCTCTGGGGCTATAGGATTATGCCATGGCCCATCAGCCTAAATTATTAGGGGAAAAAAAATAAATACTTTACAATTTTTTGGAAAATTATTAACAACACATTCATGAAATATTTCACCCATTGTACTTCATGAAAACATGAAAGTCATAGCAAATTATCAATAAACAGAATATAGCAAAGCAAATTAATTGAAACACTTATGAAAGAATACAATTAAAAATAATGATATACATTAAAAATTCACACTTCAAAACTTCAGTTGTTCTTAAAATCATTCAAGATTCATAGTTAATAAACAGCATTAAAATTATTAATCATATACCATTTACTGTTATTACATCAAATATAGCTTTCTTACCTCAGGAAGATTTGACAATGCTTCTTGAAGAGCCTCCTAGATGTAGATGAAGTTGTATTATTTAGACAACTGAAAGATTCTGAAGACAAGGTTAAGAAATTCATACAATCCGGCACTAATATTTAAAATTATAATAATAACACTACTATCAATTTTTTATTAAAAAGCTTTAAGGGACCAATTAACTTCTTTGTATTTATTGCATTTCTCTTTATATTTTTTTCATTTTACTTACTATAATTTCCCATTAATGGCTGTACTTCTTGAGAAAGGACTTTCACTTGAATATTGTACAGCACCTTTTTCAAATGAAATTATTGCTTTTATTTTGTTCTAAAATTCTGTGCATATTTCATGCATTTATTAAATACAAATATCAGTCTAACTGAAAAATAAAATAAATCACACATTTTTGAAGATCTTTTTTTTTTTTAAATAAAAGGTGGCAAATTTGGCCTCAAACACATAAGTTTCATATGTTGAAGTACTCTAAAAGAAAGAAAATCAAATGGTCTAAATACCATATTTTCAAGTAAATTTAAGTTAAGGTTAATAAGGAGACAAATTATCTTTTACACATATATGCACTTTTTTTTCCCTTTTATGTTAGACTGCATATAAAACATAGTTTTTCAAAGCATATTTTAACCTATCAACATAAGTACAGGGTAAAAATCTACTTCACCCATTATACTTCATTGAAAACATAAGAATGACTCTTTTACCATTCCTAGTAAATTGAATTAATCTTTGAAGGTTAAAGGGAACAAAGCTTATTGAAAATCTTTTTCTTTTTTATCTGCTTTACTACCAATCTTTTTTGATACGTTTTATATGACAAGATGAACTAAAGAGAAGAGCAATCACGGTAATAATTTCTTAGGTACTATTGAAATAGACTTGAATTTAGTAGTCCAATTAAGATGATTTCCTAATCCAAAGACAATATGAAAGAAATGTAGAATAAGTGGATGGCTGTATGGAATCAGAGCAGTTGTCGGCAAACTCATTAGTCAACTGAGTGAATTACCAACAGTTCAATGACTGAAATCTCTTTTGAGAGCCACATTTTTTAAACTTAAATTATATAGGTAGGTAATACAATGTAATATACGAGTGTGCTGCAACCCTCCTGGTTGATAATAATCGGCCTCATGGTTAACGCAGCACACCCAACACAGACAAAGAAAAACACAGTTAAAAGATTAAAACAAAGATTAAAATAGAAATACAGTGATAAGTAGTAGTTACATACAACAGTTATGTAGGCAGGTATATTGTTATGCACTTATTTAGGGTACTCTTACGATGGCTTTTCATAAGAACGGCCAAAATCTGTTCAATGTATGTTCGCTGAGGTCAACCCTCTTCCATCCACACTTGTCTTGTATACTCATTTTGTGTAACTTATTTCATTTATCCTGTCCATATGTCCAAACCATTTTTACACACATTTTAAAATTCTCAACACTACATCATTTTTCCCTCCACTAAAAATACTTCAGTTTTAATCCACAACACTCACTAAAATTAATACTTCAGTTTTAAGTCTTTGTTAAACAGTATAGGTATATCAAATAAAATTTGATATTACACTAAAAATGATACTATTTATTGACAAAATAAAATTGTAACACATCCAAAAATTTTAATCCTGATAATGAAGAACAAACACTAATGTGAACAATGGCCTTGCATCTTCTAGGAAAGTTTGTGTTACTCAAGTTTGTACGTTGTTGTTTATTTAAGCATGATTCATCATTTTCATTTTATTTCAACTTCTCACTTTACTCTTAATAAGGTTCATGCTTGAAATCGACTGTTTGCATGAATATGTAGACCTGAATAAGGAAAGAACAACAAACGCTAGTTTTTTCAGCTGATTATATGAGTCAGGAATACCATTCCATGTGATAAAAATCAACATATCTTCCTTCTCCAGGTCTTTCAAAGCTGACCACTTGTACTGTGAACTTAAGCTCACATTTGTTTTCCTCCAGTTTTTCTATATCTGCATTAAGATATTCAAATTTCAAGCTCAATAATTCTTTGTTTTTTAAATACAGCAATTGGATTTCAAAGTAGCCAATGTAAATATTAAAGGGAGAAAATTTTAATTCTGTTACAACAGTATTATGAGGTTTCTTAACAAAGGCTAATGTTGCTATGCTGTTTCTGAATTCCTGAAACCTGCTGAGGAAAACTTCTCTCTTATTTAAAACAGTTGTTTTCAAATAGCAATTGTCAGTATCAGAAATATTTTCTTAGTTATATTTCAATAGGCTTGGAATGTGAATCAAAATTTCTCTTTCAAAGTCTTCAACAAAAAGAGATAATTTGTTTTCTAATGAAATAACTTCTTCTAACATCGAACAAATTGTGTTTCCTCACCTCTGAAGTTTTTGATTTAGCTAATTAGATGAGACGTAACATCTAAAATAAAATAAAATTTTTGAATCCACTGACCGTTCATTAGTTCTGGATAATAAATACTCTTTTTAAGCTTTAATTTTTGTTAATAAGGACACAAAATGTTTCAAAACATTCCTCTTGATAACCAATGTACTTTGTCATAAAGCAGAAGATCTGTGTACTCACTCTCCATTTCAACTAGAAATTCTTTAAACTGGCAATGATTAAGAGCTTTAAGCCATAATACAGATGATAATCTTTATCACCAATTCCATAACTTTGCAAATTTCTTCTGGAAATGTCCACACATAAAGCACTTCTACAATGGTAAGTAAATATTTTGTGATTGACTTTTTTCCTTTCAAAATAGCAACAACCCAATTTTTTTATACCGCTCATACTTTTTGCCCCATCTGTTCCAATTAAGACAATTTTATCGACAGATACATTATGCATCCAATTAAAGCAGTCGCTATATCCTCTCCTCATGTTTGACATTCGAGTGGCAGTAATTTTAAAAGTTCTTTGGGACCTATTGTTCAAAAAGTTAAACTTGCATTGTATCGTTTATGTCACAAGACGTCACGATAGATGTATCACAGATTCTCTTGATAAAGCTGAAATCAATTGAAGATCTTCGAGCTGCTGGTAGGTTACATTGGAAGAAATTTTGACTGTTCTGTCTTGTGCTGCGTCAGCAGTAAATCTTTAATTTATTTTAAAAATCTTCTCTTTGTTTTTAATATCTTGAAATAGCGCTTTGGATGCATTTATAAAACAACTTTTTATGTATTCGCCATCTGTATAGGATTTCCCTCCTTTAGTAAGCTCTTGAATATCACAAAATTGCAATATTAACATTATTGGAAGATTGCATCCAGTAATTAAGCACAGAATGTGATTTTTCTTGACACTTTTGAAGTTTCTCAACAGTTTTCTTCCTTGCATCACCAACAGGATATTTAGTACTAAATGACACATGTTTAGCTGTGAAGTATCTCCTCACATTTGAATTCTTGTTATTAACCAACTTTCCCTGACAAATAACACAGGCTAGAAGATGATTTCAATTTCGAATAAACGCAAAAGTCTTAGTCTATTTAACTTGAAGTTCACGGTGGATTTCATCTTCCATTTACTTTGCTTCTTCTACGTATCAACGTTGCAATGAGAAGGAATGAATAAGGTCAGAAGTAGTGAAATGATTGATGCCAACAGCAGTTGGGCAAGAAAACAATGGAATTGTGGGACACAAGAAAACAGGAAATGCACGTTTACATCTATGAATTTATTTCCCCCTTTTAAGCGGTTTTTAAATAAGAGAAGGTTATTTAAAAAACCTCTTGCATTAACCACTCCTCAACAAGCTTCCTGACTGACTGGCTCACAAAAGTAATAACACTCAATTCGTGGATGAACTGTGCTGGCATCGCCAGAAGTGTGTGTGGGGGGGGGACCTTGGCTCAGGTGAAATGCATTTGTTGCCTTTTGAGTAGCCACGGAGGATGCTAACTTGGAGTAACACAGTTTTCGCGATTTTCAAATTCGCATGAATTTCTAACAAAATACTGCAGTGTAGAAGACAAGCAATGATATGGTAATGCCAATGTATCTATCCTGGGCTGTATCGCATAGATGCCACTTCATAGGCAGAACTGTGTGGGTTGGTCATAAAATGAGGCAGTGACATAATCAAACACAAGTATCAGAGTTATTCTTGTTGGTACAATTTTACTGAATCAGTACAATGACCCATTTATCAATGCATCAGTAAAATTCTTGTCAGAATCAGTACAGTGTCAATTTTAACTTGATACACCAAATAACATCAAAATGAAATTTCTTGTCAAAATACCTGTGTTTTTATACATTTCCAATTTGAAGTTTTTTTTATATTATATGTAACCCAAACATCGTGTATGTATTTTATGTTGCCTAAATTCAGTTGTTAGGAAAATTTTTGTTTTAGACACTGAAAGAAATTCAAATTTAAAAGGTCTAAAAGCTAAAAATCCTGATATTTTGAAACTAAATTTCATTTTTACATTATTTGGCTTCTCATTCAAGTTAAAATTACCATTGAATGGCACATTAATTCAAAGCATTTCATTAGTTAAAATTTAGCATAAGACAATTACAACAGTACAATATGATGAATAATCAATACAATCAAAACGCTGAAATCATTACAAAAAACATTTCCCAATGTTTTCAATTGTTTTCATGCTTGTGTAAAATGTGATGGTCTGTGTGTTGTATTTTAAATTATTTTATTGCTTTTACATGCATGCACCCGCATGTATTATTTTGCAGAAGAGCCACACTCAAAGAGACAAAGAGCAACGGTTTGCCGACCACTGAACTAGAGTATTTCAAGTTCTTGTTCCATCTAGACAGTCAAGTCACTTATAGCCGTATCTTAAACTTCTGGTGAAATAACTATGAACTCAAAGGAATAAGTAAAGAAGTAACAGTAAGAACTTGCTGAGGCTGTCTAATCATATGAGCTAGCATGGCTAGAAAAAGGCGAAAGCCGACTTTATAACAATAAAAGTTCCGTGAAAATAATATGGAGGTCAGCAGTTACTGCCAAAAGTTCTCTCTTCCCTACAAGAACTCTTTTCTTATATATATGCTAAATAATTTGCATCTTGGTAGGAGATGGTGAAAGTGACAGTAAAGATAAAAATAAGAAAACTGCTTAATAATCACAAAACATTATGCTAAAATAATTTCAATGTCATATAAGCTGAAACATTTTAACACTGGAAAAGAGAGTACAAAAGAAAATAAAAAAGTGTTTACAAAAAAATAAGAGAAGATGATGATATAACATTATGAGCACATTCGTTTACTTGCTAACAAAGGAAAACAATAGAATTTTGCTCCTCTGTATACATATATGCACAATTACAATACAAATTTAGGATAAAATTTTGTCTAATTTTAGTTCATGATAAAATTGGTAATATCTAGCTGGCAATAAATCTCTTAATGACAAAAGATTCCACTTTTAGCAATACCTAGTAAACACTTTTTTTTTTGGTTGAACAATGTGCGAACATATTTATTTCAAGTGTATTGACACGCATATATTATTTAAACTATTATATTAGAATTTAGTTTCATTGGATCTCAATGTGTAACACATCCAGTTTAATATGATTCTGAGCCTAAAATTATTAGTTTAAAATCTATTATTGAATATTAAAAATGCTGTATGTTTTTAGGAAAACTTGGAAATCACTCAAAAAAATTTAACACTAATCGCAGACATAAAATTACACTTGAAAAGATACGTCTTGCCACACAGCAACTGAAATTTTTGGCAATCAGGATCAAGATGAATATAGTAAAATCAGTTAAGGATATTACATAATAACTGCACTTTTATATGAATTATGATTACAGCATAAATGATAGGAAAAAAGTGAAAAGAAATGAAATTTCAAAGAAAATGGTACTTGCATGTTATTCCATCGACTATAAAACTGCAAAAAGCAGTACAATTTAGTGGTAATGATGGATAAGCATCACATATAACACACAGTATCTGTGCTTTCATTCATAACATTACTTTTTGCTCTCTTTGCTGTTAGAGTGAAAATTAACTTTTCTTGTTATATTAAAAAATCAATAAATACATAAAAATGTTCAAGAACTTAAGAATAACATTAGTGATTACATTCCCATTTATTTACAGCTCTAGAGAATTAACATCAGTTTGATAGGGAAAAGAACATAGAACAGTTTGATAGGGAATAGAACAAGCATATCCCCAATAAAATAGTAATAAATTAGAACAAGCACTTGCAGAAAGTTTGTGTTTGTAATATTCTGAACACAACTTCTGGTATAACTGAAGGGCTTAACAAAATAGTAGAAATCCTGAAAAGATATTTTATGAAGTTCAGAAACGAAATGGGTTCAATATTTCCACAGCAGTAATTACATGGTGGACTGTGCATGACTGATAAATGTATTGTAAGAATTACAGACAGAAGTGCAGCTCAGTATTACCCAGATCAGTGCAAATTTTGTGGGATTCCCATCAACTTTCCTAATTTGATGGTAGTTAATTTTCATGGTCGACAGGATAATGTGTAAGTACCAAAGAAACTTTATTGATTAATATATATTAATCAAAGATTTTAAAATATATAAAAAATAAAAAAATTTTAATTAAAAAAAAATAAAATTTAAAATATATATAAAATCTATATAAATTGTCAATAAAATTAAATAACAAAAAATAGCAAGCAAAAGTAATTTTTTTCAGATGTAATTTTACAAATATAGATGTAAATTTACTCAATAACATTTTGATAAAAATTACAGATATGATATATAAAATAAACCAGAGAAATGGATATTTTTCACTTTTGTTAACCTCTTTTTCTGACTTTATTTTTTTATTTTCCTCCAGCACTTGGTTCTCCAGAAATTGCTGCTTTTCAAATTCAGCCAAAATTCGTTTCTGAAATACAGTTTCAATAAGCATTTGAAGCTTCTATTAAACTTAACTGCATATAAAATTTATACAGTTACAGTTTGTGTAAGTAATTTGTGTTAATAGTATGAATTAACAAAGGTCTACTGATTTTAATAAGCAGAAATATTTCTAGTAATATAAATACAGTACACTATAAATTAAGTAAATTATATAAATTAGGACCAAATTATATGTACATTACATCAGAATGCAAAGAAGTTCTTGCACATGGTGATGTACAAAGATCTTTTCAAGAAAACCACAGTATTAATGAGTAAAAATCTACATTTTTCAAATATTTCACACATTTTATTATTAAGTTAAAAAATGATTTTACTTTTACTTCATTCTGCAAATTAAAATTAGAGAAAATTTATGAGGATTGTAAAGCTCCCCGAATCTTTTTATTTTATAAACACACCTGGGAATCACAATTTAATACTGGATAACGGTGATGGATAGAGAGTGATACTTCTTAGAGGAACGCCATGGATCCAACATTTAGAATTTTGCTTCAAATTTTTTGAATGGGGGACACTTGTGTTGCCTGACATAACATAAAACTCCCCACGTAATAAGTTTTTCGATACCTTTATCCAATGAGGACATAATGATACACAAAATTGATAATATACCTCAATTTTCTTTATATTTCTAAAACAATCTAATCAATATTCTATGTCCAGGATGGCACTGATGAAGAATTAATACAGATTAATTTTTTATAAGCCATGGAACAAGTTCCCATATTACTGCTGATGAGTCTAAAATCCTTTATCCCAAAAGTGCTAGCATTACTCACAAGGCTGTAGATAAGTTAAAAAAAATCTGATGTGTACACCATATGACTTCCTGGTATGGAATATTAAATTATACATATTTTTCTTGCATTTTATTTAAACTTATTGGATTGAATTAAATCTACTTCATCGATAGCGCATAAACCCCAATAGAATAAATGCACTCTTTAAAATTCATTATATTTGTTTACCATAGCGACACTCTGGCGCTAGGTTCACTTAACAGCATTATGTTTTGTACATATTATAACTCAGAATGCACAAAGTTTATATCATTTGAAAAATTATCTAATCATTGCCACATGTTCTATTCAAATACCATAATAAATCTAGAACGATGTATAAAAGAAATTAAGCAAACAAAACAAAAAAGAAATAGTTTTTAACACACAATTCAGTATTTCACATTCAATTAATTCAGTTTTCACTTCGCGACAAGGCAAAAGTACATAAAAACTCAAAACATACAAATTACAAATTTTAAAGTAAATCTTAAAACACTTATTTCCTTGAAAAATTCCAGAAAGGATTAAGCATGATTGAATTTGCAATAATAAATGAAGCATTATCTTTGTTGTTGCGAAGCTTAGACTCTCTAGGTTGGCAACAAATCTACTATTCTGCTGTTTCAAATGTAAACAAACATGTCTGCCATGTTATTTAAAAATTAGGCTTAACTGCACTTAAAAAGCTTTTAAATTGTTGATAATTCTACAAATATTGCTTGCAGATTTCCTAAAGGGATAGAAATATTAATTGGAAGATAAGAACAACATAATTCATTTTGTTGTTCATTTTTAAAGCAAAAATTGCACAATTTACAAACATATAAGAGTAAAGAAACTGAGATCACTGAGCCGGGTAACAGAGTGGATACATTTATAAATATATTTATATACGTTTGGTGCAGCCGATTTCAACCAAAATACAAGGTGTTATAGCAGTTCAAAATTTCAACGTTCTGAGGCTACTCGTTTTGAGTTATGTGAGATACATACGTATGTACGTACAGACACCATGAAAAATTCTCTTCAGAATTCATTTTAAAGCAGTTTTATAACTTTTTTGGAGGAAAAGAGTCTTTTGCTCTGTCCTTAAGTACAGATGTCACGTAAAAACATCGTTAAATTGCATTCAATAGCGGTCAAAATCGATATTTTTGTTGAAATATGCTGCCTGAAACTTTTTGTGATTACAATACTTCCTTTTTACTTCATATAAGGAAGTAAAAAAATGACCAACAAACACCCCAATCTCTTTTTAAAATGGGAAAAAAGTATGGCAGTCGTGGTTACTTTATGAACAGTCCTCAAAGCAGTATATATTAAGCAACCTTAGAAACAGGTGTCATCAAAACTTAATTCTACAAGTACAAGAAACAAAATACATAATCATGTATGTACAATCAACAAAATATACAATCATTTTATATTAGTTAAATTTATTTTATATTAGTTAAAGATTACACGTGTTTGAAATGAATGAAGCATAACCTTAGTATTTGCTGAAGTGAATATTAGTCACTATTTGAATTAACTAACTTGGTGGCTAAGCATGAACTCAGAGACTGTTGTTAGATAACTTGATGCCTAAAGCATCAAACCACACGCACTATACAATTCCAACTTCTTTATCTAATATCAAGTTGCAATAGATTTATTAATATTTACACCGTAAATCTTTTTTTTTTTATGAAATAAAGTCTTTCTTAAAAAAATGTAGGTCTGAATTTTGAGCAATATACAGTCAAAAGTCTTTAATCCGGACGTCCATAATCCGGAAGTATCTATAATCCGGACCTCAAAGCTACAAACTTTCTGTGCATACGTCAACGCATAATGCGTTAATGCATGTGCATAATACCTTTACGCATGCGCGTTTAATGTATAATGTACGGTATAAGCTAAGCTAAAATTATCTATTTCAGTTAATATTGCAGATTGTGTTTTTCCTTAAAATAGTAATTGGATCCGGCTTATTATTTTTTGCAGACTGTTAGAGCAATTTTATAAAAGTAAGCTTAAACTTTCGATTAAGTCAAAAAGAACTTCTGATTCTGGAGCTACCAAAGGATCTACAAAGCGAAAGCATGCTTCGATGTCCATCAAACAAAAAATGGAATTACTGCAAAAAATGGATAAAGGTATATCCTTTGATCCTCTAATCATTCCGAAATATGTTTATCAATTTCATGCTGCTGTGGGGGGGGGGACGACGCGGCGCGCAATGAACTGTAAGTTGATCTGTCAGCACTATCCTTATCTTCAGGGCAGATGTTTTTATTTTATTTTGGCTTATAATTCCTTACTAAATGTAGTATTTCATCTCGATGTACTCTGTCTTTGATATGATTTAAATCAAATTCCTTGTCATTATAAATATCACGAATACACACCAAATAGTTTTCTGGTTGCAATATTCTAATTTCGACTACGCATAATGTATGCTTTACGCATGCGCACATTTTAAGAAATGTTTAATAAAGTAAACAAATAAATATAAACTTTTTTTTCTAAATTTTGATCATAATTTCTCTTTATTTCATAAATTGCGGTGTCATATTTTTAATTTTATAATTTCTGCATGCCATCTTAGCAGATTTAAACTGATGATCTATAATCCGGAAAAAAAGATAATCCGGAATCGCCAAAGTCCTGATGAGTCTGGATTAAAGACTTTTGACTGTATATAATTTTTAATCATTTATCCATTTTAGTCATACAGTATTTTAAAATTTATGAAGATTACCTGAGTTACAGATTTCAAATTTAACCTGTTAATAATATCTGTTCATGATAATTTTCTAAGCCACTACATTTATTTCCATCTAAACCACTGCATACATTAATGATGTTAAAAAAATGATAATAATATATATGTTTGTGTGAAAAACTGAAATATGGAGAATATCAACATTCACACAGTTGCTTGGTGCACGACTGATGAATGTCCAAAATATTTGCTAAATATGCTTACTTCTCACTTTCAAATGTTGACGTTTCAACTTGCAATGATGGTGTACGTTGAATAAAAGTATTTTTGTTACATTTTAAAATCATACTTTATTATTAAAATATGTTACGATATATGTCAAAATAAAAGTAAGCTTACATAACTGCACATGTAAATAAACTGATGAAGTTAAAACAAAACAGTACATTCTAAATAAGAAAAGAAAATAACACCAATAATAAACTTACTTACTTATGTGACTGACCTTATACAATCTAATTTATTGCAGCAAATTAAACATTTATGACACTATGAATTGCAAAAGAGCCCCTTAATCTTACAACTGCATTTAATCGTGGAATACTTCTTTTTGCAATGGCAGTGTGACTTCCGCTTCTCGAATCAGTTGCAGCTGATTCTCTCAGCAACATTTCTCGAGAAGAAATCTCATCTATGGAAAGAAACTTTTTTTTTACATATTATGAACTGATTACAGAACTACTTGATGGCACGATTTTTGTGAGCTAATTAATAAAAGTTGGAGTCTTCTATTCCAACAAAAACCGGCAACACATTTTGGGCATTTGTACAATTATGGTCAACATCAAGATATAAAACCTGTACTCGTACAATATCACAAATTTGAGCAGGAAGAAACTTTCTTTTTAAAGTTTGGCAAATTTTCATTGCTTGCAGTAGAAGATTCTCTTTTAAAATCACTCTTTTATTGAAATAAACTCATGTTGTTCAGTCAGTTGACATGAAGACATGATAGATTGCAGCTCCTTTTCAATATAATTTTTGGTATGGCTACTGCTCAAAATTTCTTAAAAAATATTAAGTTTCTTCAAGCTGTTATTTGGTTTAAAAAATGTGCGATTTGTTTAACAGGCAATGATGATGATGCTATGCCTCTTTTTGGTTTAATGCCAAACAGGGCTTCATAAGGACTTTGGCATATTCCTTTGAGGTATGTAGGGTTCTTGGCAAATTGAAAAATGGGCAAACCCTCTGAACTTTTATTTGTATCGTTATCATTCATAAATGCAGTTAACATATTCTGTATATCTTGACTAGTCTTTTCAAATTAGCCTTATGCTGACTAAGATGAGGCTTTCCATGAACTATTTTAACACCTTTCCATATAGTGCATAGGTTGGATATGACTTGATTACTGAAATACCTACTATTATGTGAATGCAATACAGCTATGGCATCAAATATTAAAAATATTTGAAGGAGTGATACAATACTTCTTCAGCTGTCTTAATTTTCAAAAGGTCCTAGCTAGACAAACTTCATTAAATGATCCTGATACATCATTATGAATTTATATTTGCTATTCCTCTGTGACTGCAAGACCAACTTGTCATCTTGAGATTAACTCTGAACTGACCACTGGTTTCACAGCAAAACCTTTTTCAGATACACCAACTTTCATTTGACATTATTTACATAAATTTAAATTATGTAAATATATATAAAATGTTAAATATAACATTATAACTTCATATGCAATATTGTTGTATGTAACTTGCAATTCTTTAAGTACACATGTTCTATCGGCATGTTCTAATTGTCTGTAATAGAAAGGCATACTGTAACTTAGTTTTAGAGGAAATCACTTTGAAAAGTATTTTGGAAGTACTATTCTTAAGAAAAATAAAAAACAACTTTTTCTCATTTACTTGCAATTAATGCACATAACTTAAAAAAAAAAAAAAAAAAAAAAAAAAAAAAAAAGATTACACTTCACTATGATAGGCCATTTGATATAAAATTACGATACTGGATAAAAAAATAAAATTAAGAAAACATTAAACGCAAGTTAGTTTTAGCACTTAGGTTTAGCAGAAATCATTTTGGAAAGTATTTTAGAGTACTATTCTTGAAAAAAAAAAAAAAAAAAACAATTGTCTTCTCATTTACTTGCAACTAATGCATATAACTAAAAAAAAAAAAAAAAAAAAAAAAAAAAAAAAAAACCAATGATGGGTTCACTATAATAGCCATTCAATATAAACTATGGTATTGGATTAAAAAAAATAAAAATTAAGAAAACACTGCACACACCAGCAAAATTTCCATAAGACTGATAAACAGCAGTGTTCCAGAATATAACAAATAGATGCCACGTGACTGACAAATAGCAGTTTTCCAAGTATAATAAATGGATGCCACATGACCTCAATCATGGCAGAACAAAAAATTCACATTTTTGACAGCTTTCTCTCTGTCTTCTCGGCTTCTTATTTCGACCTCCACTACAGCATATCTGTACTTGTTGACATACACAGGTGATGGTTCAAATAATCAAACATTTGGCCTTTCACCAATGTATTAGGTATGTGTTGACATTCTCCAATTTCAGTCTTTCATGGAACATCTATCTATCTATCTATATAAATAAATATATATATATAATTTAAGAAAGGAGAACGACCTTTGTGGTCAAGAATTTTGTGCATCGAGCTGCAAAAATTAGAAAATAAGGTAAAAAGAATAGTCTTCATGCTTTTGCTTTAAAGCAGTATACTGTGGTTCTGGTGAATAATTTTAACACAAGTTAAAATAAAATGCAATTAAAAGTATGAATACAAGATAAATGAAATTATCACTAGAATACTACAAATAAAAAGCGAATTTAAAACTCAAATCAAATTGGAAGTAATATGTTGATTAAAGTTAAAACTATCTTAAAACATTTGAATAAAAATACAAAAGTTATATGAGACATAAGCAAAAATACTAAAAGCGGTAAATGATAAATTAGCCTAATTCGAATCTCATTATGGACTCTTCAGAGGAAATGCACAATGGTATTTGAATCCAGCTAATTCCATATCGCGTTTCATCAAAACAGAAGAATCAAGATTGTGCACGAACTTTTTGATTATTTAACTGATAAAATAACCTAGATAAAACTTTAGCCTCAGTTTCTCTGCTTCATTTCCCAACACGTCTGCTTGTTAAAAGTAAATGATAAACACAAAAATAGTGTACAAAAAAAACTATACAAACTGGTCTGGTTAGGCAAATGTACAAAATTAAAAAAAAAAAAAAAAAAAAGCAAATATTATATATATATATATTGGGGGGGGGAAGAGAAAGTTCTTACCATATAACATACAGAAACAAACAACAACAACAAAAAAAGGATATGAAAACAAATGATCTATCACTAACTCGCTCTTCTTCTCTACGCTGTTTCTCTAATTCTAACTCTTTTTGCTTCTTCTTAAATTCAGCCTGAGCTTTTTCCTCTCGTAAAAGCCATAGTTTGTGTTGCCTTATTCTACATTGAAATTAAATAAAGATATTTGTGTAAATTGATATGGATTTAAAAAAAAAAAATTGCAGGAAAGAATATTACATAGATTAGAATCAAATAATAGTAATAAAATAACAAAAATATCAAACAATTAGGCATTTCTCTTACAACATATTATATTGAAAAACAGACATAAGCTTTTATTATTTTATAATAATTAAATGAGCAATAACCCAGTAACTTTATTGCAAATACAGTGATATCTTATTTAATGAATGTAACCTGTTTCATTATGATTCTTATTATGTATGATGCTACTTTCTGAAGATTACTATGGAAATAAGATTACAGAATATGAAGGGGGGCGTGATTCAAAGAATATTAGAAACACTATTAATTTATTAGTTATTACAGAACTTTAAACTGTAAAGATGTGCTTTTAAACAGCCCTGCAGCTAATTTTAGATCTGTTTTGTCCGAGTGTCCTACTGGAGGTGAAAACTCAGCTGTTCTTTACTCTGCTTTTACATCTGGCCTTGACTGTTTTTGGAAAATCCATGTTTCAAAAGAATTGTCTGAAGTAGTCTAACTCTTCTTTAGGACAGTTTAGAAGCAGCACATGATACAATCACCTTGTTCATCTCTGTTTAACGGAACATCACTGCTCTGTTATTACCTGAAGTAATTCCTATTTCTATTTAAATAATTTTTTACTTTTAGGAGAGCTTCCAGTTCTTCAAATATAATATAAGATTAAGAAATATGCTTATTTGTTTTTTCTTGTTATCTTTGCTTATACTCAAACAATTTTTTTCATATGCTGCTAAAAGAGGATGTTCGACAAATTTAGCTATATGTTTATCACATGCAATGTGTAATATAGGACATTGTTCTCTGTCTATGTCTATTATGTGGGACGATCGTTATACGAGGCATTTGTTAGATGAGACACAGCTGTACAGCTGCTACAAAATTATAGCAGATTTTTTAATCATAAAGAATTTTTAGTTATAAAAATAGTTTATAGATGGCAGAAAAAAAACCACGCATGCATATACACACTGTAGGGCAAATGATGGCCATGCCAAAAAGCCTGGAAGATGCATAATGGAAAAGTAGAATACCTCAAACAATATCAGGCAAAGCCTGAAAAGTATGTTAGGAAGAAAGATACTTTCTGATAATTTGCATGCCACCCCCCCAAATGAAAAGTCAGCAATGCCTTTGCACAGAGCATCTGGAAATTCATTGATGACAAATTATTCACTAAGCTATGGCAATAGTATCTTCAAAACGGCAATACAGGCACAACAGAAATGAATAAATAAAAATTAGAAAATCAAGCAATAACAATAATAAAAAACTTACTTTTTGATAGCCTCTTTTTTGCATTGCAATTTTCTCCACGTACATGGTGATTTGTTTTCAGTTAAAAATATCATTAGAGAATTACAGAAACTTGGCACTGTGCACCAGCCAAAATAGACATGATAGGCACATACCTGGATTGCTACACAAATAATCTCTGGCAACCTTATGGGTTTGCCACATAACTATTTGGGCAACATACTGCTTTGCATCAATAATTTTCCGTGACATTTAGGCAGGGGTGCAAATAATCAGAGAGTACTGAAATGTGTATTAAAATTTTTCACAACACTTATTTAAAAGTATTACAAACTTTACATTTGAAAAGAATAAGTGATTAACTACAGAACATGTGATTTTATTAAAAAAGTATAAATAATAATTATTCCATATGCTTTGCAATGAATTATAATGATACTAAAACTCTTAAACTATACTTAAATTTATAAATTACTTTTCTCTTTCTTCAAACTGTTCATATAATTCAGCATTTCGAAGCCTTTCTGCTTCCCTTTCTTTGTAGTTAGGAGAGTTTTCTCTTCTTTGCTGCTCTGTAAGAGAAAACAATTAAAGAACAAAAAATGTACAGATCAATAATGTGAAAGTAACAAAGAAGATTTCAATAATAAGCATATATGCTACTAAGTAAATATGTAATAAATATTGCAGCATGAAATTATATTGAGAAAACAACAGCACAAGACACTTATGCATTTTAAATAACACGAATTTTATCTAGACATAGTATCCTTATATTTTGCTTCAAGACACATTTTACACTACTGAATCTACCAAGAACAACAACTTTTTGCATCATGAAGGAAGAAATAGTAAATGATACAATTTAACTATAATAATATCACTGAACTTTATTTCTTACTACACTGTAAAAATTATAATTAAAAACAATATAAACTAACAACTGCAATATAAAAATATAATTTATAGTTTTTTGAATAAAATGTTCAGAGATGCACTGTATTTTACTTGGTTTATATTTCTAAATTAATATACTTTGTGATCATAATAAAGTATGTATATTATATAAAGCATTATTACACAATTAAAGTTGACTTGCATTATAAAGATATGTAATAAAAATAAGTCACTAAACAGGAATAAAATTATTCAATATCTTTACAATGTGTAACAAATAAGGGGAAAGGTTATACTATATCTCTATTACTTAAATTAATAAAATGAGAAATTTTCTGCAGCCTCCTAAAGTAATCCACACTTAAATGAGAAATTTACCTAACAGTTCCAGTTGTTCTCTTTCTTTTGCTAACTGCTGCCTCTTTTTCTTACGTCTGAATTTCTTCAGCATAGCTCGAAACTGTTTATGGCTGAAAAGAAAATCCACACTATCAATACACGAACATACAATGATTTGGGGAGGGGGAGAAATCCGTTACTATACTATACATTTAAAGAAACTCATACAATTTTATTAAAAGCAATCAGAATAAATAAATATGTCTAACTGTGAATGAAACAATGCTGAATCTTAGGTTAAGTAAAACATGGAAGAAATTAAAAGTTATGACATACTATTATCAAAAATTATTGTAAGAAATACCAAAATATATACATGATAATCAATGAGATCTAACACCTTGGATCACACAAAATACAAGCGATAATGTAAATTGTTGGGATATTTTTTGACTCCCTGAAGTAAATTTGTTTTGATTTGGACTGAAATTTCTATTTTACTACAAATATTCATGCACAAAATTACCTGAAATCCTTTTAAATGCATAAATCAAAAGCTATTCATATATCACATATATTTAAAATCTGCATAGTGATCACAAGTCATTGGAAAATATGAGAAAATAAGATTCGGATTTCATAGCACATATTTATATGTTAACTGAAGCATTCAGGAAATGATGCATAAAGTTATTCATCACTTTATCATCCTCAGTTTTTATTGTGCCTAGTATTATTTACTGAGACGGTATAAAATAAAACAAGCACTTTGCTATAACCAGGAACTCAAGAATGCAGACTGTATCATTTGTTTTCAGCAACTTTTTACTGTGAAGTGCAGATTTCATCACATGAAGCTACCACTTCATTCACATTTATGATTCCTAATTTAGCCCAGCAAAAATACATGGAAGTAATAGAAATTCTGAGAAAAATACCTTCATAAATTATAGAAGAATTTAGCATGAAATAGCTGAGTAACATCACCACCACTAAACAAGAAATAAAAGGTAATATAATTTATTTACATGTATCAACAGAAAGAAAGAGAGGCGTGCTTTTTTACACAGGATGTATAAGATCTCTATATTTATTTTTCTTATTTAAATAAAACTAAGCTTAAAAGCTGTTTAAAATAAGCTCACAAAGATAGCGAATGATTTTGAAGATATATTCGCAGCCATTCTGACTCTAAGCACTTTTCCACTTTAAAAAAACTGAATTTTTTCAATTAATCTTCGAATATATTTTGGATATTCTTATTAAAAAAGAATAAATAAATAAAAAGAATATTTTGTTTCAATCCATACTAGGGGATTAAAAAAAATTCTTGTACATAAAAGGTAAACTTCATTTCTGCTAATTAATATAATTTAAACACCGTAAGTTATCTTTTGAAACAAAAAATGGTTAATCTTTGGATTATGGTAATTTAATAACTTGGCGATTTTTTGGCGAACATTTCGCGACCAACCCTGCTACAGCAACCTGTTTGTTTTTGTTTGGACGCAATTTTGTTTTCACAAAGTAAACGCTCTTTTTTTTTTTTTTTTTTATACTCAAAATTTTTTTCCCCAACAATCTGCTAGCCGAATTACGCTTATGCTAGAACTTTTATGGAATAGAATTGCTTAATCATGATGAAGATTAGGTGCGAAATTGGGAGAAAGTGCAGAATCACCCACTGTTTGCCGCGTTTTTAAGAATTGCACATACACAGTATCATCCATGTACACGTCGACCTATTTTCACTTAAAAAAAAATCCCAGAATTGCACAAAAATGGCATTGCACACACTCTTGACTTTACCCATGTACACTGCTAAAGTCCTAGCTAGTAACCTTTATCGCCTTACCAAAATGTCACCAAACTACCTGTTACCATATTCCAAAGATTAGCCAAAAAAATTGAGCAATATATTTCTTATGCTCTAGACCAGCGGTTCTCAACCTTTTGATTAAAGCGTGCCATTAAAACAAAACTTGAAAATCTTTAGTATCACCACTACATTTTACAAATTATTTTTCAATTTCTCAATAGAAATATTTAAAAATATGTATATATCTATATTTCCATTGCACAATCTATTGGCTATTTGTATTAAATGTGCACACATAAAAATATTAGATTAAAAATTCATTGATATTTTAATTATCAGAATTTAAGTTATACATAATACTTTAGTTCTAAAATTTAGTGTGAAATTTGGTCTGTTTAAAAGAGATCAATTTCTGTATGTCTGGTCTTATTTCACTTAGTTTTAACTGTAAACTAGGATCTACTTTTAACTTTTTTCTGTATTTATTTTTCCACTATAACATAGAAGAAAATCTTTGTTCACACAAATAGGTTGTGCCAAAAGTCCATAATAATTTAATAGCTTTATTTGAAATGTCTTGAAATTCTTTTTTTTTCGGGGGGTCAGCCGAAAGTTACAGTGTTATTGAAATCTTCAGCTAGAGTTCGATCACAGCAAATTTCTATCAATTGTTCTTTTCCTTCACGAGATAAAATTTCCGGCACATTTGAACAAAATGCATTTCTAATTCAAACTTTTTTCATAATCCTCGGGAAAATACATAATACAATGTTGAAATTATTTATCAATGGAAAAAAATGATTTTTCATGTCATACGTTAATTCTTTTATTTTCAAATTCATTTTGGTTAGAAAATTTTCTAAAAGAGGTAAAAAGCTTAAAATGTTATTATCCAATTCTTTGAGTATTAGCTCGAGTTTTTTTTATCATTGCTTTTTTTAATCTCTAATGGGTAAACCAATTAAAATTTTGTTCTTGTAATCGTAATTCATTTAACATTTAAAAAATATCAGTTAAATATTCTAAATGAGTTAAACATAATTCACTAAATAAATATTTGGTACTTACGTATTATCGCAACCAGGTTGGCGCTATTTGTAAGTTTGAGTAAAAAGTATGAATAGAAAGAAAATGTACATTTATTAATTACAGATAATTTTTAATACAGTTTTTTATATTATTTGTTTTTAAAATATAAAATAGCAATTAAACCCTTCCGGTTTCGAATTTGAATAAGTTGCAGAATTATTTTTTTTGGCGGAAATCTTTTGGCTATTGCTTTTAGCACTGATTGAAAACCGTATTCGCCATAACCATGTACACGTCGACTTATTTTTACTTAAAAAAACATCCCAGAATTGCACAAAAATGGCATTGCGCACACTCTTGACTTTATCCATGTACACTGCTATTTTCTCATAAATTACAAAAATTTGCACGAAAATGCAAGAAAATTTTGTGAATCTCCAAATGCTCTTTTTACAAAACTACGTATAACACGTAGGGTTGCCGTAAGTAGGGTCGCCAAATTTCGCAATTTATGCGAATTTTGGCCTGGTCGCGATAATACGTAAGTACCAAATATTTTTGCAATTCAAATTTTTAATCACAGATGAAAATTTGAATTTCAAAATAATGTTCAAAATAATGATTGGACACTTTGCCTCTGGATGACCACCTTGCTTTGGAATGTAACAAAAGCATTTCATGTTCACTGCCCATTTCTTGTCATAAAATCACAAATATTCTTGAATTGAAAGCTTGGATTGAACTTTCTGAGTTACCGGTCTTTATCCGGTCATCAGAAGTTTTGCTACTTATCATACATTAGCTTATAATTTAAGATATTTTGCCATCTTACTTTCTTTAACAATGCAAATATCTTAATGAACGTAAGTTTTTTAAAATACAGACTAAAATAAGTAATTATACAAATTCAATTAATAAATCGTGTTTAAATTTCGATCTTCATGACGGTTCTAAAATCCTGTGCCGCTTAGAGGGTTAAAAAAACAACAATTTTTACAGATTGATTCAAAAGAATTTTCAGGATTTCGGGGATTGTTTTGGCTACTACAACTTCACGATGTATGGAGCAGTGAGTAAATTTAGTTTCAGGTGCAACTTTCTTTATTTGAGAAATAACACCAGAATGTTGTTCTATTAAAGCCAGAGCTCCATCAATTCACATTGCAATGCACTTATTCCAAGGAATATCATTCTCAAACTTAAAATTGTCAACTACTTTGAAAACTTAATTTGCTGTTGCTCTATAATGAAGAGATTTACAAAATAAATAGTCTTCAGCAATTCATTATCTTCTTCAAAACATACGTAAACTAATAATTGAATGAAGTTCCTTATGTCAATACTTTCATTCCAATTGCAATGCCAAATACTCAATGTGTTATTTTTTGAATAAGTGCCTTTTATGGAATTTGCAATCTTATGAATTAGTTGACTTACTGTATCATTTGATAACAGAATATTAGTAAGTTCATTAGCCACTTTTTCATTGAATAATGTTAAAACAATATCTTTAGCTGCTGATAATATAAAGTTTTTCCCAATAGTGTGAGCCTGCCCAGTCTTATCAATTCTTAGGATTACCAGGTAACTAACTAGCTTCCAAAGATTTGTCGCTTGAAGTAACCTTTTTTTTTTTTTGGTTAATCTTTAAATTATGGTAACTTGGCAATTTTTTGGCGAAAATTTGGCGACCAACCCTGCTACAGCAACCTGCTAGTTTTTGTTTGGAAGCCATTTTGTTTTCACAAAGTAAAGGCATGTTTCTTTTTTTTATTCAATATTTTTTTCCAACAATCTGCTATCCGAATTACGCTTATGCTAGAACTTTTATGGAACAAAAGTGCTTAATCATGACAAAGACTAGGTGCGAAATTGGGAGAAAGTGCAGAATCGCAAACTGCTTGCCGTGTTTTTAAGAATTGCACATACACGGTATCCATGTACACGTCGACCTATTTTCACTTAAAAAAATATTCCAGAATTGCACAAAAATGGCATTGCGTACACTTGACTTTATCCATGTACACTGCTAAAGTCCTAGCTAGTAACCTTTATTGCCTTACCAAAATGTCGCCAAACTACCTGTTACCATATTCCAAAGATTAGCCAATAACTCATTATATTTTCTATAAACAATTTTCCTTTTCTTTTCAATATTCAGAGTGCTAGTAGATTGTTCTGGACCAATCACCTGTGAATCATCACTTTTTTGTTCAGTCAATCCTAGCCATTTTTCCATTTTGAAAATCTAGGTTAGTTTTATTTTTTCCAGAAATATTTAAATGCAAACAATATTACGAGTCCTTCAAAAACTAACGATGATATTCTCAAATCGCGTAGAAAATTAAGGAATACAAAGCAACAAGAATACAAAATACATGTTGTTAGAAACAGCAAATCGGCGTAAAAATCATTCTAATTGAAAATAGAGCAATATAAGCCCGGAAATAGTGGCGAATAAAGTGTAGACATAAACTGTGGAAGTGCAGACATAAAATGTAACTAATAAATCGATCAACTCTAATAGAATTAAGGAGATACTATTATATTTTCATAGGAACTTATTTTTATTTCCTATTAAATATAACATCCATTTCTATTACTCCCTTTAAAAACATCATTTATGACAAATTTTGTATGTGTATGGCTAAAAGAATATTTGAAAATAAAAATGGATTATTTTGCTAAAAGCTACAACCGGCAATTGACTTTGAAAAACTTTCAGATCGTATACATTTATGAATGTTAGAGAAAAAACGTAAACAGGATGTTGGAGTATTTAATTTCTCCATTTAACAGTTAAAAATACTTTATTTCTTTGCGTACCACCGGTTGCGAACCGCTGCCCTAAAAACATCAGAAGGCACCTAAATTTATTAAAATTATAAGTTATTCTTCAAATCCAAAAGCCGAAGTTACACATAAAATTCGACATTACGATGTAAGAAAAATAATTTTTCATAATATTACCTAAGCTTGATTCCTTGAGCAAATATAGATGTCATGTTTAACAGAAAAACTTATCAGTTACTGAATATTCTAGCAAAATTCGATACGGATTTTGAGACAAGTCACCTAAAGAACATAAATTCTAACAGTATTATGTACTACGATTCTAAATAATAAACAAATCATTATCGACAGACAGATGTCTTATTTTGCACCCACTAAATCTTTTGGTCCATAGGGCGAAATGCAAGCTGTAGCAATCTGTAGCAATCTTACTTTTGAGCAAGAAGAAAGGAGGTGAGGACTTTGGCGAACGCCGTTTCCTCCAGTCCGTGTGGCTCGGTAAGTTAGAAGATGGCGAGTAAACGACCCAACTTCGGAATTGTTAACTAATTCTCCAGGAAGGACGTATTGAATGTTTTCTTTATCGTAGAATTTGGCGATATAGATTAGATGATTGTATTTTTTACACTCATTCAGTCTGTGCTCAAAATCATCCCGTACTTTGCAATTTACGCATAAAAAAGGAGTGCTTGAAAGATTTAACTTGAATTTAAGGTAGTTCGTGAGGATACTTCGAGTGAGAATTTTGTTAATTTTACATTCCATTTTCCTTGAGTCGGGCCAATTAATATTCATGTATTTGGTATTTAAAACATTTTTAAAATAACAATAATACTTGGTATTCTGCCAGGTGGTATCAATTTCCCTCTCCCTGTCCTCCCTAATTTCTTTTTTGATATCCTGCTATGTATATATAGGGAGGATTGGAGTATTGCGTGAATTTAAAGCCTGTTTAGCAAAAAATCTGCCCTTTCGTTGATCTCGATGCCTTTGTGACCAGGTATCCAAATTATAATCTTACTATTTGGCATGTTTTTGTAAATTTCATATCGAATATTCTCAATTTCTCAATTATGTTGTTATTTGAATCTTCGAAGGAAGCAATAGCTTCCACTGCCGCAAGGCTGTCAGTGAAAATTATCGTCGCTTCGGAAAGGTTAACTAGATTTTTCAAAGTGTACCAAATTGCAGAAACTTCCGCGGTGTATATAGAAGCATTTCTTACAATCTTGATGGCTCTGTTAACGGTATTTTGTAGATTTGTTATTCCAAAACCAGTTCCATCCAAGTGTTTGGAACCGTCTGAGCCCCCATACGTTTTCTGCTTTAACATCCGCAGTTAAATTTTTGATAAAAGGAGCGTAACCTGTGACAAAAACGTGAAGATTCTTTAAATCGATGTTACAAAATTTACTAAAGTTTATCCAAGGCGGAATACGTTCCGATTTTAGACAACGTTATTATCTAAAATCCATTTAGATTCATAGCTGTCAAGAACAGCTCTTAAATTCTTTCTCTCTTTCTTAAACCTTCCGCCTCTAGTGGCGGGGAAAAAGTAAGCGGCTCCCTGAAATTTTTGATTTATGATGGATAATGTTTTTTGCCATTTTTTTTATCTTATTATAATGCGGAATAGCTACAATTCTCCTAATAACGTCGTTGGGAGCAAAATGACATACCCCTAAGGCTTTTCTAATCGCTTTATTGATTGCCGATATCGTACTTATTTTGGGAGGAGAGATATTCTCCCCACCTGATTTCACGTCCGTATATGAGTTGGGGAATCATGATTTGCTGGATGATCTTTAGTAAGTTTTTTGTTCTCATTCCTTGAGTTGAGTGGGAGAGGGTTTTGATCAAGTTTAAAGTGTTATTTAATCTTTTAACTAGATAAGCATCGTGTGCTCGCCAACTGAGGTTGTGTTTGAAAATAACGCCAAGTATTTTATGCTCTATTTTCCATCCAATACTGAGAGCACCTATTCTGATGGAGGAAAAGTATTTCTTTCTTGCTCTTGAAAAGTCAGTTAGTGTTGATTTCTCAAAGGAGAAAGCAACCTTGTTTTCAGCAGACCAGCTAAGGATCTTCTTGAGAGTGTCTTGTAAGCAGAAATATCGGCTGTCCTTCCTAACAGTAACATGCACATAGATATCATCGGCGTAAATGAAAAGCTTGGTACTCCTATCATTCAGTTTACAAAAATCCATCAAGAAACAACTGTAGAGGAAAGTTGATAAAATAGCCCCTTGTGGAAGGCCCTTGGACATGAGGTTTTCTGCGCGATAGGATAGATCTCCACTTTACAAAAATAGTACCATTAGTAATAACATTTTAGATCCAACGCACTAGGGTAGTGTTCATGCCCATCTTTTTCATCCTTTCAATCAAAATCTCATGTTGCACATTATCGTAAGCACCTTTGATATCTAAGCAAATTAAGTAATTTTCCAGATTTTTGCTTCTGGCTGACCAGATAGACTCATAAATGTCTCTAAGGCAATCAGTTACGCAAATGCCTTTTCTAAAGCCATAAATATTTGAAGGAAAAATATTTTCTGTGTCAGCCCACCACTCTAAGCGGCGCAGGATTATTTTTTCAAGGATTTTTTTTCAATGACAGACGTTAAAAAAATTGGCCTGTAATTTGCAATCCATCTCCCATTTTTATTCGATTTTAAAATCGGAACAACCCAGGATGTTTTCCAGATTGTTGGAATATTACTTGATTGCAGACGTTCATTATACATCTCAAGAAGGGCTTTCTGCGTATATTTGGAAGCGACCCTCAGACTTTTGTAAGTAATTCCATCGGGACCCGGGGAGGAGTTTTTCCTACTCCTTAGTGCGTACATTAATTCTTTGGCGGAAATTGGCTCAATTTTATCCAAAGGATAGTCGATAGGAGCCGACTGGTTAGGATTGTCATTGGCGCTGTAATATTCCGCGAAAATATCCGCCTGAGCAGCCTTTTCTAATACATCTGCGTTTGAGTGAGTGATTACAAAATTAACTTCCAAGGGAGAGACCAATAGATACTTTTTAAGGTTTTTTACATTTCTGAAGACTTGTTTGCAAGAATAGGATTCATAGGAAATCTTTGCCCAGTACTTTCGTTTTGCTTTTATTAGCTCTCTTTTGTATTTAGCGTTTGCACCCTTATACTCCACCCAGTCGCTAGGATTAAGTGATCTTAGTGCCCTCCTTTTCAACTTATCTCTAAGATGTTTGAATTTGGCGCACTCCAAACTGAACCATGGGTTTTTTTGGCTCGACCTTGTAGGTCATTTCTCTGGAGTGTATCTTGATAGCGCTGTTAATTACAGAGGTATAAGCATTAACTTTATCTTCCATATTACCAGCGTGGCTCACAGGCAAACGTGACAGTGATATACTGACATCTCGCCAATTTGTAGAGCTTTTAATTTTTCCAGGTCTCTTTTTAAAACTATGATTAAAATTAAGATACACAGGGAAATGATCACTTTGACCCGTATCATCAAGTCTCTGGAACGACAGCTTGGACGCGATATTGACATTTGCCATACAAAGGTCGAGGGTTCCTCCTTCTTGGTCACGACAAATATGAGTAGCTTTCTTATTATTTAGAATGATCATATTAGAGTCAATTAGCCAATTCATGAGCTTTTGACCGCTGGACGATGTAATACACTGACTACCAATAAGTATTTGGACACCTGTGATAGAAAAGAAAATCTAAGTTTATTCAAAATCAATAGTTGGTAGAGCCTCCACGAGAGGTAATTACAGCGTGGACCCTCCGAGGCATACTTTCCACAAGTCTTTGTATGACAGTTAGTGGTATTTTCTTCCACTCGGCTTGGAAAAGACATAGAAGTTCCTTCACCGATTTTGCACGGGTAGTGCACCCCTGAATTCGGCGATGCAACTCGTCCCAGAGGTTCTCGATAGAGTTCAGGTCTGGACTCTGGACTCAGCACGACCATCAAAACCAAGCAGATGTGCTTCCTTATGGATGGTATTCATTGAAACAATACTCCCGGATGCCTGTTGGAACTCCTCGCGGATGAGGACCATCGGTTGGGTGTGGTTCTTCCGAATTTCTCTGGACAGCACTTGTCGGTCTCTTTCTCCCAGTTTCGTTGGTCTGCCGACTTGGGGCACATTCCGACAATCACCGCCCACCTTCCACTTCTTAATCACATAGGCCACTGTCGATTTTGGGTACTTCAGACCGCTAGATATGTCCCTTAAGGATCGGCCACATTTGTGATACCAGATAATTATACCTTTCTCGAAATCAGAAAGCTCGGAACTGCGAGGCATCTTGCATGCGACTAAAGCCGATGCTGTTTCCTACACGATATATACCGGCGGTGTCCGTGATGTACCTTAGGACCGCAGATATCGTCATTCGCATAGGTTTCCAAATACTTATTGGTAGTCAGTGTACTATCTCCAAAATTTCTATGGCGGGTGTTAAAGTCGCCAACCAAGATCGTGAAAGGATCCTTAAAGGAATCCAATATCATTGATCCTTCTGGTTTAAATCTTCCGGAAGGCCTATAGCAATTTACAATGGTAAATGTTTTACCGTAAGCATGCACTTTGATACTTAGAACTTCCATGTCAGATTTAATTCCTGTATCTGGAAGTTTGGAAACAGGTAGATTTTTTAACACAAAAATGGTAAGGCCACCGCCTTTAGTGGGAAAAATTCTTTCCTTTAAAAAACTATTGTAGCCAGAAAGGAAAGGAACCCTAGGGTTCCTACTCCAGGTCTCCTGGAGACACACAACAGAAGGTTTTAACCAAGAAACAAAAGAAGACAAGAAACTTAAGTTCGCCTCGAAACCTCGAACAATTCCAACTAAAGATAAAACACATGAAATTAGAAAGTATCATCATCAATTCGAGGAATTTCCTCTTCTTGAAGCGTGTCTGGCCCATTATTCCAAGGTATCAAAGGACTAGCCTGATGAATAATATTCAAATTTAGATGTTCTGTTTGAAGATTATCATATGCAAGGCAGGTCTTTTCAAGATCTTCCTTGTATTTTTGGATCTGTTTTAGGGAGTTTTCATACAGGCTTCTAAGTTGTGTATTTTCAGTTTTAAGTTTGTTATTAACTTCCTTAAGATTTAAATTATCTACATAGAGAGAATCAATTTTCCTTTCGAGATTTTCTAATCTTGTGACTATCTTACTTAAAACATTTTCCCCTGGCTTCTCCAATACCGAGTCTTTAGTATATCTATTTGTGTGGGTGTTAGTAGAGTTTTGTTCTTCCTCTTTCTGGACCGCTTCTGCCCAGGAAAAATAACTGGAAGTCTGGAGAGGTTTCTTCGATGAAGATTCACGCTTCTGACCGTTTACTTCCCCTTTTTAATATTTATTTTT